TTAGGGAAATATGAGGTAATTGGAATGCTTAAGATATATTTTAAATATGGTTTTAGCTCTAGTCAAGACTATAGATTAGACTTCGTCCAGACGATGGGCTAATTACATATAGTCCAGACTATTGACTAGACTATAGTCCAGAATATATACTACACTATAGTCCGAACTATAGACTAGACTATAGTCCAGACTATAGATTAGACTAATGACAAGACTATAGACCTGACTATAGTTTAAACTTTAGTAGAGAATATAGACCAAACTAACGGCCGCCAGACTATAAACTATAGGCAGACTACAAACTTTTATATAGACTAGACTATGACTAGACTTAGACTAGACTATAGACTAGACTATAGACTAGACTATAGACTAGACTATAGACTAGACTATAGACTAGCATAGACTAGACTATAGACTAGACTATAGACTAGACTATAGACTACTAGGACTAACTATAGACTAGACTATAGACTAGACTATAGACTAGACTATAGACTAGACTATAGACTAGACTATAGACTAGACTATAGACTAGACTATAGACTAGAATGACTAGATATAGACTAGACTATAGACTAGACTATAGACTAGACTATAGACTAGACTATAGACTAGACTATAGACTAGACTATAGACTAGACTATAGACTAGACTATAGACTAGACTATAGACTAGACTATAGACTAGACTATAGACTAGACTATAGACTAGACTATAGACTAGACTATAGACTAGACTATAGACTAGACTATAGACTAGACTATAGACTAGACTATAGACTAGACTATAGACTAGACTATAGACTAGACTATAGACTAGACTATAGACTAGACTATAGACTAGACTATAGACTAGACTATAGACTAGACTATAGACTAGACTATAGACTAGACTATAGACTAGACTATAGACTAGACTATAGACTAGACTATAGACTAGACTATAGACTAGACTATAGACTAGACTATAGACTAGACTATAGACTAGACTATAGACTAGACTATAGACTAGACTATAGACTAGACTATAGACTAGACTATAGACTAGACTATAGACTAGACTATAGACTAGACTATAGACTAGACTATAGACTAGACTATAGACTAGACTATAGACTAGACTATAGACTAGACTATAGACTAGACTATAGACTAGACTATAGACTAGACTATAGACTAGACTATAGACTAGACTATAGACTAGAGATAGACTAGACTATAGACTAGACTATAGACTAGACTATAGACTAGACTATAGACTAGACTATAGACTAGACTATAGACTAGACTATAGACTAGACTATAGACTAGACTATAGACTAGACTATAGACTAGACTATAGACTAGACTATAGACTAGATAGACTAGACTATAGACTAGACTATGACTAGACTATAGACTAGACTATAGACTAGACTATAGACTAGACTATAGACTAGACTATAGACTAGACTATAGACTAGACTATAGACTAGACTATAGACTGGACTATAGACTAGACTATAGACTAGACTATAGACTAGACTATAGACTAGACTATAGACTAGACTATAGACTAGACTATAGACTAGACTATAGACTAGACTATAGACTAGACTATAGACTAGACTATAGACTAGACTATAGACTAGACTATAGACTAGACTATAGACTAGACTATAGACTAGACTATAGACTAGACTTTAGATTAGACTATAGACTAGACTATAGACTAGACTATAGACTAGACTACTAGACTAGACTATAGACTAGACTATAGACTAGACTATAGACTAGACTATAGACTGGACTAGAGACTAGACTATAGACTAGACTATAGCTAACTATAGACTAGACTATAGACTAGACTATAGACTAGACATAGACTAGACTATAGACTAGACTATAGAATAGACTATAGACTAGACTATAGGACTAGACTATATGAACTAGACTATAGACTAGACTATAGACTAGACTATAGACTAGACTATAGACTAGACTATAGACTAGACTATAGACTAGACTATAGACTAGACTAGACTAGACTATAGACTAGACTATAGACTAGACTATAGACTAGACTATAGACTAGACTTTAGATTAGACTATAGACTAGACTATAGACTAGACTATAGACTATAGACTAGACTATAGACTAGACTATAGACTAGACTATAGACTAGACTATAGACTAGACTATAGACTAGACTAGAGACTAGACTATAGACTAGACTATAGACTAGACTATAGACTAGACTATAGACTAGACTATAGACTAGACTATAGACTAGACTATAGACTAGACTATAGATTAGACTATAGACTAGACTATAGACTAGACTATAGACTAGACTGTAGACTAGACTAGAGACTAGAATATAGACTAGACTATAGACTAGACTATAGACTAGACTATAGACTAGACTATAGACTAGACTATAGACTAGACTATAGACTAGACTATAGACTAGACTATAGACTAGACTATAGACTAGACTATAGACTAGACTATAGACTAGACTATAGACTGGACTATAGACTAGACTATAGACTAGACTATAGACTAGACTATAGACTAGACTATAGACTAGACTATAGACTAGACTATAGACTAGACTATAGATTAGACTATAGACTAGACTATAGACTAGACTGTAGACTAGACTAGAGACTAGAATATAGACTAGACTATAGACTAGACTATAGACTAGACTATAGACTAGACTATAGACTAGACTAGACTAGACTATAGACTAGACTATAGACTAGACTATAGACTAGACTATAGACTAGACTATAGACTGGACTATAGACTAGACTATAGACTAGACTATAGACTAGACTATAGACTAGACTATAGACTAGACTATAGACTAGACTATAGACTAGATATAGACTAGACTATAGACTAGACTATAGACTAGACTATAGACTAGACTATAGACTGGACTATAGACTAGACTATAGACTAGACTATAGACTAGACTATAGACTAGACTATAGACTAGACTATAGACTAGACTATAGACTAGACTATAGACTAGACTATAGACTAGACTATAGACTAGACTATAGACTAGACTATAGACTAGACTATAGACTAGACTATAGACTGGACTATAGACTAGACTATAGACTAGACTATAGACTAGACTATAGACTTGACTATAGACTAGACTATAGACTAGACTATAGACTAGACTATAGACTAGACTATAGACTAGACTATAGACTAGACTATAGACTAGACTATAGACTAGACTATAGACTAGACTATAGACTAGACTATAGACTAGACTATAGACTAGACTATAGACTAGACTATAGACTAGACTATAGACTAGACTATAGACTAGACTATAGACTAGACTATAGACTAGACTATAGACTAGACTATAGACTAGACTATAGACTAGACTATAGACTAGACTATAGACTAGACTATAGACTAGACTATAGACTAGACTATAGACTAGACTATAGACTAGACTATAGACTAGACTATAGACTAGACTATAGACTAGACTATAGACTAGACTATAGACTAGACTATAGACTAGACTATAGACTAGACTATAGACTAGACTATAGACTAGACTATAGACTAGACTATAGACTAGACTATAGACTAGACTATAGACTAGACTATAGACTAGACTATAGACTAGACTATAGACTAGACTATAGACTAGACTATAGACTAGACTATAGACTAGACTATAGACTAGACTATAGACTAGACTATAGACTAGACTATAGACTAGACTAGACTATAGACTAGACTAGACTATAGCCTAGACTATAGACTAGACTTTAGATTAGACTATAGACTAGACTATAGACTAGACTATAGACTAGACTATAGATTAGACTATAGACTAGACTATAGACTAGACTAGTCTAGTCACTAGACTATAGACTAGACTATACACTAGACTATAGACTAGACTATAGACTAGACTATAGACTAGACTATAGACTAGACTATAGACTACACTATAGACTAGACTATAGACTAGACTACAGACTAGACTAGACTAGACTATAGACTTGACTATAGAATAGACTATAGACTGAACTATAGACCTGACTATAGAATATACTATAAACTAGACTATAGACTAGCCTATGAACTAGACTATAGTGCAGAATATAGTCTATACTTTAGACTTGGCTATAGTCCAGACTATAGACTAGAATATGGACTAGACTAAAGACTAGCCTATAGTCCAGACTGTGGACTGCACTATAGTCCATTCTATAGACTATAGTGAAGACTAAAGAATTGTCAAGATTAAAGATAAGACTAGAGACAAAGCTGTAATCCCGTCTTATTCATGAACTTTTATCAACGGTTCTTAAATCAAATTTTAATACAAAATTTGTTCTATAAACCTTTGATAAATGTTTATGAATAAGACAGATAACAATCTAATATTTTAACTATTCAGATTCTCTACCCATATTAACTGATCTAAGTAGGTACAATTAATGTTTTAGAGTAAGTTATTTGTGTGACATTAAGAAATACATATATACATATGTATTTCTCAGTTTTGTATATATAATGTTTAGCCGATATACTTTACAAACATAAGATATACAATTAATAGTTCGTTATTGTATTTAAATTTAAATAAAAAACTATTTCTGCTTATTAATATGTCATAAAAAATTCTAATAAAGCAATCATCAACATTTTTTATAATTAAAGTGTTATTTGGTTTCTCAAGAGAAAGTAAATTATCACTTTGTCTCTTTTTCTCTTATAAAACATTATTAAGAGCCTTTTCCATAGTGTTTTTAATTTAACAATTAATATTTGTTCTACCTTAAAGCAATTTAATTAAATATTCTTTAAGTAAATAAGTAAAACAATAGATAAAATAATTTATGAAACAAAAACAATCTTAATAGTATAATTCAGAGAGAGAGAATGAGCAATAAAATAAAAACAAAAAAATATTAAAAAATATTTTATTCTAAAATATATTTTAGTTGTATTTTAAAATTTCCTTGAAACGGTCAACTGTTAATTAGTTCGGCATGTTTTGTGCTAATACGACGCGAAAGTGTGAATTAAATTTTGAAATAAACAATTGACAATTTTTAAATAAAATAAAAATAAACAAAGACAACAAAAATAAAATATATATATAAAATAAAATTTTAATAGAAAAAAGTAAACACAAATTATAAATATTTATATTTACTTATGTACTAAAAACATGTGTTAATATTTTGTGTTTAAAAAAAAATATATTTTTCAACGAAAAAATATATAAATTAAGAAAAAAAAATAAAATCAATTTTTATGAGGTACTAAAATATTATTTCAACATTTTTTTGGGTGTGTTATTAAATATAAAAAAAAAACTTGCCTTAAATATATAAATAAAATGTGTTTCAATAAATAACATACAAAAATACTTAGAAGTGTTTAATAAGTTATTGTTCTACAAATATGGAGTTGTATAAAATTAACCCTCTGAAGGCTTTAAGAATTTTCTTAAATATTATTCAATAAATTCAGTTTTGAAAAGAAAATTGTGTTGATAATGATAATTACAAAATTTTAGAAAAACTTAGCTTGTTTTAATCAATTTTTATGTAAATGTTTTAATACATTTTCTTACATAAAGTATTTTTGCATTATTATGAAGGTTTTTTATAACGGAAATAAAAATTCAAATTAAAATTTATGTTAATATTGTAAAAAAGTGTAAAAGTAAAAGCGAAATCATTTGTGAAAATTACGTCATTGTTGTTACATTTGTTTGTCCTGATCTGTTATTTTCAAAATCAAAATTGTGTGAAATATGGTGAAATTTATAGACCAAAAAATATTGACTTCACAATAGATCTAATTATAGACTAGGCTATAAACTATAGACTAGACTAGAGACTGGACTATAGACTAGACTATAGACTAGACTATAGACTAGACTATAGACTAGATATAGACTAGACTATAGACTAGACTATAGACTAGACTATAGACTAGACTATAGACTAGACTATAGACTAGACTATAGACTAGACTATAGACTAGACTATAGACTAGACTATAGACTAGACTATAGACTAGATAGACTATACTATAGAACTAGACTATAGACTAGACTATAGACTAGACTATAGACTAGACTATAGACTAGACTATAGACTAGACTATAGACTAGACTATAGACTAGACTATAGACTAGACTATAGACTAGACTATAGACTAGACTATAGACTAGACTATAGACTAGACTATAGACTAGACTATAGACTAGACTATAGACTAGACTATAGACTAGACTATAGACTAGACTATAGACTAGACTATAGACTAGACTATAGACTAGACTATAGACTAGACTATAGACTAGACTATAGACTAGACATAGACTAGACTATAGACTAGACTATAGACTAGACTATAGACTAGACTATAGACTAGACTATAGACTAGACTATAGACTAGACTATAGACTAGACTATAGACTAGACTATAGGACTAGACTATAGACTAGACTATAGACTAGACTATAGACTAGACTATAGACTAGACTATAGACTAGACTATAGACTAGACTATAGACTAGACTATAGACTAGACTATAGACTAGACTATAGACTAGACTATAGACTAGACTATAGACTAGACTATAGACTAGACTATAGACTAGACTATAGACTAGACTATAGACTAGACTATAGACTAGACTATAGACTAGACTATAGACTAGACTATAGACTAGACTATAGACTAGACTATAGACTAGACTATAGACTAGACTATAGACTAGACTATAGACTAGACTATAGACTAGACTATAGACTAGACTATAGACTAGACTATAGACTAGACTATAGACTAGACTATAGACTAGACTATAGACTAGACTATAGACTAGACTATAGACTAGACTATAGACTAGACTATAGACTAGACTATAGACTAGACTATAGACTAGACTATAGACTAGACTATAGACTATAGACTAGACTATAGACAGACTATAGACTACTATAGACTAGACTATAGACTAGACTATAGACTAGACTATTAGACTAGACTATAGACTAGACTATAGACTAGACTATAGACTAGACTATAGACTAGACTATAGACTAGACTATAGACTAGACTATAGACTAGACTATAGACTAGACTATAGACTAGACTATAGACTAGACTATAGACTAGACTATAGACTAGACTATAGACTAGACTATAGACTAGACTATAGACTAGACTATAGAATATGACTAGACTATAGACTAGACTATAGACTAGACTATAGACTAGACTATAGACTAGACTATAGACTAGACTATAGACTAGACTATAGACTAGACTATAGACTAGACTATAGACTAGACTAGACTAGACTAGACTATAGACTAGACTATAGACTAGACTATAGACTAGACTATAGACTAGACTATAATAGACTATAGACTAGACTATAGACTAGACTAGACTAGACTATAGACTAGACTATAGACTAGACTATAGACTAGACTATAGACTAGACTATAGACTAGACTAGGACTATAGACTAGACTATAGACTAGACTATAGACTAGACTATACTAGACTTAGACTACTATGACTAGACTATAGCTAGACTATAGACTAGACTATAGACTAGACTATAGACTAGACTATAGACTAGACTATAGACTAGACTATAGACTACTATGACTAGACTATAGACTAGACTATAGACTAGACTATAGACTAGACTATAGACTAGACTATAGACTAGACTATAGACTAGACTATAGACTAGACTATAGACTAGACTATAGACTAGACTATAGACTAGACTATAGACTAGACTATAGACTAGACTATAGACTAGACTATAGACTAGACTATAGACTAGACTATAGACTAGACTATAGACTAGACTATAGACTAGACTATAGACTAGACTATAGACTAGACTATAGACTAGACTATAGACTAGACTATAGACTAGACTATAGACTAGACTATAGACTAGACTATAGACTAGACTATAGACTAGACTATAGACTAGACTATAGACTAACTATAGACTAGACTATAGACTAGACTATAGACTAGACTATAGACTAGACTATAGACTAGACTATAACTAGACTATAGACTAGACTATAGACTAGACTATAGACTAGACTATAGACTAGACTATAGACTAGACTAGACTAGACTATAGACTAGACTATAGACTAGACTATAGACTAGACTATAGACTAGACTATAGACTAGACTATAGACTAGACTATAGACTAGACTATAGACTAGACTATAGACTAGACTATAGACTAGACTATAGACTAGACTATAGACTAGACTATAGACTAGACTATAGACTAGAATATAGACTAGACTATAGACTAGACTATAGACTAGACTATAGACTAGACTATAGACTAGGCTATAGACTAGACTATAGACTAGACTATAGACTAGACTATAGACTAGACTATAAAGTAGACACACTAGACTTTAGACTAGACTACAGAGTAGAATATAGACTAGACTGTAGACTGGACTAAAGATAGAATATACCATATACTAGGCTTTGGACTAGGCTTTGGACTAGGCTTTAGACTAGCCTATAGACTACAATGTAGGCTAGACTAGAGTAAAGACTTGTCAATAGACTTGACAATATACTTATAGACTAGACTTTATTCTATAGACTAGAATATAGTTAGTCTAGAGTAAAAACTTGTTAATAAACGAGAGTGTATACTAGAATATAGGCTAGACTATAGGCTTGACTGTAGACTAGACTATGGACTTGACAATAGACTAGACTATAAAGTAGACTACACACTAGACTTTAGACTAGACTACAGAGTAGATTATAGACTGGACTAAAGTCTAGAATATAGAATATACCATATACTACCCTTTGGACTAGGCTTTAAACAAGACTATAGACTAGAATATAGGATAGACTAGAGTAAAGACTTGTCAATAGACTTGACAATAAACTAATAGACTAGACTATAGACTAGACTTTATTCTGTAGAATAGACTAAAGACTAGAATATAGGTTAGTCTAGAGTAAATACTTGTCAATAGACTTGGCAATAAACAAAAGGATATACTAGACTATATGCTTGACTATAGACTAGACTAAAGACTTCTCAATAGACTTGGCTATAAACTAGAGTATATACTAGAATATAGGCTAGACTATAGACTAGACTATAACTTGACAATAGACTATGACTATGTACTTGACTAAATACCTGAATATATACTAGTCTTTAGACTAGACTAAAGGCTAGACTATATTCATGACTATAGACTAGACTATAAACTAGACTATAGACTATACTATTGGCTATATTATATATTTGAATATAGGCTTGACTATAAACTGGACTATATACTCAATTATGGATTAGACTATTTACTAGACTATAGAAAAAACTATAATATAGAATAGACGATATTGTAGACTAGACGACAGACTAGTCTATGGTCTATTGTCGTTTTTCTCTAGATCAAGTTCTTTCTAACATATTTTCAAATGAGGAATATATAGCGACATAAAAACCGGTGCACAAAATGACAGATTTATTTAGAAACGTTTATATTCCAAGCACTTGCACATGGTTCTTCGTGCAAAGTACTTCCCCTAGATAAATATGTATGTGATATTTAGTGCGCCAAGAGATTTATTATCTTGACCCGAAAAAAAATCACCATTAGTATCGTATCTTATCTATATAACTTAAGGCCAAATGTTATCGTATTTGAATAAAAGCGGTCTGTAAATAGCTATGCGAACAATGCAAAAAGTACATACAATTTGAAATAAGTTGGTAATTTGATTGTGGTTATAAATTTCATGAAAAGAACCAACCAATGTTATATTAGAAATATTCAGTAAAATGTAAATCACTTAAGATCTTACGATCTTTTGTCTAAATTATAGTGATGTGCATAGTCTGGATTATAGTCTTATTTATATGGGTTATAGTCTTATTTATAGCCTAAACTATTGCGTAATCTAGAAATATAGTGAGAACTAGGACATTAGTCTGAGTTATAGAATAATAATATAGTAATCCTTACTTATAAACCGATAGCTGTTATCTTTTAATTAATTAAAAATTCTCTCTAATTTCTTTCAGTTAGCTCAATACCTTTCTAACTTTCCCAAATATTGCTCAAATAACTCAAGACTATGGCCGATGAAGAAGCCAGTCCACGACCATTTCGTCGTGAACGCAACTTAAGCAATCGTAATTTTAATAAACGAGGCTCAAATCGTAGACGTTTTAGTACCGAAAGTCATAATTCAACAGATTCCAAAGTGTACAATTTTACCAACTCTCAGGAAGAGACAAAATCAACTAGAACAACACCTGATCGCTCAGAAGACATAGACACATCCTCAATTTCCCTTAGCACACCAACATCTGCCACGCCCAGCGTCACTTCCAGTTCAATGAACATTTCATATTCCGTTAATTCCGATACCGAAAATGCTTTTAATAAAAAGTCGATACTAAAAATGCGTTCCATCGATATAGATATAAATGAGAACGATAATGAAGATCATCAACTTAATGATGATGTAATTGATACAAGATATTCTTGTCATATTAATCATGGCAGTGGAAAAAAACTACAACGACAAACCCCCACAACACCACAATCACCGGATCCCGCATTGTTGGGTGTAAAACAGAAATTATTATTATTCGAAAATCTACAAATCGAAGAACGTGTGCTTAGTAAAACAACAAAATACAAATCTAAATCTTCACAATCGCTCTTAATGAGTGAACGTGCTAATTCATCTAGTTCGCTAACAACACCCTCCTCAACATCCGGTTCATATTTAGTGCAAGCTTATCCCATGGGTAATACCCATAACTCCAAGATGGATGATAAACGTAATTCGGTATTTCACAACAGTATTGATGAAGGACGTTCTGAAGATGAAGTGGACAGTATAAAGGATGAAATTAATGATGATGCAGAGCTAGAGTGTAGTGATAGTGTACAAGATGAATTTGGTGTTTCAGAGGCAGGAGATGAAGGTCAAATCGGAGAGCAAAGTCTACCAGTAGCAGCCATAAATAAATCATTTTTAACACCCGTCTTTCAACATTCCCAAAGTCATCCTGAAGAGATTAAGAAGAGCTCAAAGGAAACAGAAGAAAGTGGACCGGATAAAACGGATGCCACTAGTGCAAAGACGAGAAATAAAGATTTTCCAAGGTGAGTTTTAAAAATCAACTTTAGACCCCTGATTCTATATTATATTATATATTATTTTACAATGTTTTTTTTATAAACAATTTTGAAATGAGATACTCCCCAAACTTAGAGAATAATAAATCTTCATTCTTATTAATGTCCCGAGAAAACAAAGCATTCACCGCTCTCTTTTTGACCAATAATATTTTATTTTCAAATCTCTTCAAATATTTTAAATTGTTTATTTGATATCGGTTTTGAATGTCCAAAAAGTAAATCCCCATTATTGATATTTTCTTTTAACAAAACCTTTCAGATAAGATTACATACTTTTTTGCAAAGTAAAAAAATAGGTTTTGTTGGTTTTATCATTTCCTTGTCTTAATTGCCATAAATATAACTTACATGATTCAGAATTCATATTGTTCGCACTTAAATATATAAATTCTGTTATCTGTTGCTTTTTATATTAACAATTCAGTTTTTTTTTATATAAGCAAACAATGTATTGTTAATAAACTTTTTTATAGAAAAGATTGCGGTAGCGTCTTTAAATTGTTTATAAACATTTTATAGCAAACTAACATTTAACTAGAAAATGATAACTGCGGTATTGGTATGACAATACCGGAAATTGTTTTGTGTAGTATATTTGCAAGAGTGGCATATGCATATTATGTCCTCTACATTGTCCCAAGATTGTAATTGTCCTAGGTCCCAATATTTATAATAAAGATCAGTTTGAAACGACTTCCCTTGCCATCAATACTAGTTTTTAGCTCTACGTCTCAATACTGCATTTATCCTAGATCAAGTTTAAAATAATTTCTTTAGTCTATTTTAAAGATCATTTTAACCATTTTTGTAGACTTCCAAATTCCCTCAACCGTGTTATAGACTGTTAAGTTATCTAGGCCCTGACAACTATTGAAGTTCTTGCTACAGTTTTCTTGTTGCTAATTCATTTTCTTTTCAGAAATTATCGCTCTCGTCCTAAGACTGAAATAATTACAGGCTCTGACCTTCCGCCGCCTGATACCACAAGATTTATGTCATTGCATCATAAACCAAAACAAAGGTAAGTTTAGATTTAAACAAATGTTCTTCTACTGCAATGTGGATTATAGTCTTTATTTCGGACTGTAGTCCCCTTTATAAACAGTCTATACTGATAACTATAGTCTGATCTCGTTTGTAGACTAGTCAATTGCATATTGGATAGATTATAGTCTGCACTGCTGTCTCTTCCATATTCTAGACTATATATAGCCTTTTCTATAGAATGGATTACAGCCTTGTCTATAGTCTGGACTACAGCCTTGTCTATAGTCTGGACTATAGTCTAGTCTATAGTCCGGACTATAGTCTAGTCTATAGTCCGGACTATAGTCTAGTCTATAGTCTGGACTATAGTCTAGTCTATAGTCTAGTCTATAGTCCGGACTATAGTCTAGTCTATAGTCTGGACTATAGTCTAGTCTATAGTCTGGACTATAGTCTAGTCTATAGTCTGGACTATCGTCTAGTCTATAGTCTGGATTATAGTCTAGTCTATAGTCTGGACTGTAGTATAGTCTATAGTCTGGACTATAGTCTAGTCTATAGTCTGGACTATAGTCTAGTCTATAGTCTGGACTATAGTATAGTCTATAGTCTGGACTATAGTATAGTCTATAGTCTGGACTATAATCTAGTCTATAGTCTGGACTATAGTATTGTCTATAGTCTGGACTATAGTCTAGTCTATAGTCTGGACTATAGTCTAGTCTATAGTCTGGACCATAGTCTAGTCTATAGTCTGGACTATTTTCGGACTGTAGTCCGCTTTATAAACAGTCTATACTGATAACAATAGTCTGATCTTGTCTGTAGTCTAGTCAATTGCATATTGAATAGATTATAGTCTGCACTGTTGTCTCTTCCATAGTCTGGACTATATATAGCCTTTTCTATAGACTGGACTACAGCCTTGTCTGGACTATAGTCTAGTCTATAGTCTGGACTATAGTCTAGTCTATAGTCTGGACTATAGTCTAGTCTATAGTCTGGACTATAGTCTAGTCTATAGTCTGGACTATAGTCTAGTCTATAGTCTGGACTATAGTCTAGTCTATAGTCTGGACTATAGTATAGTCTATAGTCTGAACTATAGTCTAGTCTATAGTCTGGACTATAGTCTAGTCTATAGTCTGGACTATAGTCTAGTCTATAGTCTGGACTATAGTCTAGTCTATAGTCTGGACTATAGTCTAGTCTATAGTCTGGACTATAGTCTAGTCTATAGTCTGGACTATAGTCTAGTCTATAGTCTGGACTATAGTCTAGTCTATAGTCTGGACTATAGTCCAGTCTATAGTTTGGACTATAGTCTATTCTATAGTCTGGACTATAGTCTAGTCTATAGTCTGGACTATAGTCCAGTCTATAGTCTGGACCATAGTCTAGTCTATAGTCTATTCTATAGTCTGGACTATAATCTAGTCTACAGTCTGGACTATAGTCTATAATCTGGTCTATAGTCTGGACTATAGTCTTGTCTATAGTCTGGACGATAGTCTAGTCTATAGTCTGGACGATAGTCTAGTCTATAGTCTGGACTTTAGTCTAGTCTATAGTCTGGAATAAAGTCTAGTCTATAGTCTGGACTACAGCCTAGTATATAGTCCATATTGCCTAGTCCATAATCTGGGCTGTAGCCTAGTCTATAGTCTGGACTAGAGCCTAGTCCATAATCTGTACTATAGCCTAGTCCATAGTATGGACTATAGCCTAGTCCATAATCTGGACTATAGCCTAGTCCATAATCTGGGCTGTATTCTAGATTAAAGACTGTACTCTAATCTTTTCGATAGTCTAGTCTATAGTCTGGACTATAGTCTAGTCTATAGTCTGGACTATAGTCTAGTTTATAGTCTGGACTATAGTCTAGTCTATAGTCTGGACTATAGTCTAGTCTATAGTCTGGACTATAGTCTAGTCTATAGTCTGGACTGTAGTCTTGTCTATAGTCTGGACTATAGTCTTGTCTATAGTCTGGACGATAGTCTAGTCTATAATCTGGACTGTAGTCTAGTCTATAGTCTGGACTATAGTCTAGTCTATAGTCAGGAGTATAGTCTAGTCTATAGTCTGGACTACAGCCTTGTCCATAATCTGGACTGTAGTCTAGTCTATAACCTTGACTGTAGACTATAGTCTTGCCATTAGTCTGGATTATAGTCTGAACTATAGTCTGGCCTATGGTCTGGTCTATAGTCTTTCCTATGGTATGGAGTATAGCTTTGTCTATTAGCTGGACTATAGTATCATCTATATTCACGTGTGAAGTCTTGTCTATAGTTTGGACTATAGTCTAGTCTATTATCTGGACTATAGTCTAGTCTATTATCTGGACTATAGTAAAGATAGTAAAAAATGAAGTTATCAACCAATGAAAGCAGAAAACTACAACTTATTACTCGATCTATTTATCTTCCAGTGAACCCGACGACGAGGAACAAATTGAATTGCGTGACAAAGGCTACAGTTTCATACGACCCATTCTAGAAGAACTAATCAAAACGGAGGAGTCCTATGTGGAAAACCTTTGGATTGGCATCAACAACTATGGCAATATATTCCAGCGTAGCGATTTACCCATAGGTTTAAGAGGGAAAAAACATGTACTATTCGGCAATGTAGAACAGATAGCGGAATTTCATCGTGATGAATTTCTACCCATGTTGCAGCGCAACAGACATGATTTAAAGAGAATATTTGATGAGTTTCAACAGTATATAGATGTGAGTTTGAAGATGAAAGATATTTTTGGATTTTTTTTTAACTATTTCTTTTACTATTTTCAGAGTAACTGCTTTTATGGTTATGTATTATTTACCATGAACAAACAGAGATCATTGAAATTGTGTGATATGTATAAAAATTACTTTAAGGTGGGTTAGGGATTCGGGAAATTAGAACAAAATTTTTATATATTTTTAACATTAAAATTAATTTTTGTAATTTAGCTTTTACAAACTGAAATCGATGATAAGTTGGGTATTAATAGCTTTTTGGTGCAACCTATACAACGTATGGCCCGTTATCCGTTACTGTTGCAACAGTTTATAACGGTAAGTTTGTGTAGGAAAATATAATATAATTTTTTTTCTAATATTCTTTTGTGAATGTTTTCCAGACCCTATTTAAAAATCGAGATTATGTTATGAAACCCATTATTGAATCCTGTTGTCGTTTGGAGAAAAAGTTAAGAAATCTCTTGACTACCACCAATGAATCGGAGATAATCAATGATATTGTGTGTCCAAGTGAACCTAATGAGGTTAGAGTTCAAAGTTTTTTATCTATAATTAAACCAAAATCTAATAAATTTCTTTATTTCCTTAGTTCAATGTTCTCTACCAGGGAAAATTCCGCAAAGTTAGTGAATTCCATGTCTACGATCACACCCTTAAGCGTAGCTATCGTTCTAAGGTGTTCATATTCGATAAATGCATTATCTATACCGAAATCAAAGGTAAACAACTGATATTCCACGGTCGTTATCCTTGTGAACATATTGGCATAACATCGAAAACAAAACAATTCACTTTATACTATGATCATCGCAAACAACAGGAATGTGATTTTATAGCTGATCCGCCCTTAATCGAATTATGGTTGGAACTAATACGTGACATGATAAGTGCTTATGCTGCCGAGGAACGTAGAAAAATGAAAGAATTACATTCGCATGAATTCAATGGCGATCATATGCATCGTAAACCTGCCAATTTATCATTGTTTCGTGATTCGAATCGTTTTAGTAGTGATAGTGGTATAGGCAATATATGGGTTGTACCCAAACCGGAACAGGAAGAGGCCACCAATAATCGCACCACCTGGTATGCTGTGTCGTAGGCATTGTAGCGATTAAGGCAGCTGAAGGTAAAACACCTTTAACAGTGATCGGTGTAAAGAACTTAAAAAGATAAACCGACATGATCTAGTTCTGCTCTAAGCTTTTTTTAAAGACAATTCGTTGATATTTGTAAATAACCGATTGTTTTCTGGTTAAAAGGGCAGATCACCCATATTTATGTATATAATATGGGTTATTTATAACAAAAAGACGAGTATTTAACGCCATTTAATTATTTAGTTATTGTTGTTTTTTATTTTAATTATATTATTAGGTTCTTATTATTAAGTTGAATTAATATCTAATTATAAACCTGAATTAAAAATGCCAAATCTATTTCTTTAAAAGAAATCTTAAATATATATAAAATAATGCCAAAAAAAGTGAATAAAAAATTATATAATCGAACCAACAAAACCTTGTAATGTTAAATTAAAAGTTTTAAAGAATTCAAATTATATATGTAGGTAGATATAATATAGATAGTCAAAAGAAGAGACTGTAGTGCAGACTGGCATTCCGACTATAGCTTCAACTAACGAGGAAACTACAAACCAGACGATTATATAAAAGACTAATATCCAGAACCATAAGTAAAAATAAAAAACTTCAGATCAGACTATAGCCCATAGTATAGAAGAGATTACCAGACTATTGCCAAGACTATATAGAATATTATAAAGTCTATCCAAATTATATATAGACGAGACCTATACTATAGACTAGACTAGACAAGACCATGGACTAGACAAAAGACAATACTATATACTAGACTATAGACTAGAATATAGACTAGAATATAGACTAGACCATAGACTAGACTACAGACTAGACCATAGACTAGACGAGATTACCAGACTATTGTCAAGACTATATAGAAGATTATTCAGTCTATCTAAATTATATATAGACTAGACAAGACTATAGACTAGACTATAGACTGGACTCTAGACTAGACAAGACTATAGACTAGACTATAGACTGGACTATAGACTAAAATATAGACTAGGCTATATACTAGACTATACACTAGACTGCAGACAAGACTATAGACGAGACCATAGTCAAGACTATAGACTAGACTATAGACGAGACGAAGTCAAGACTATAAACTAGACTATATACAATAACACAGACTATACTATAGACTAGACAGTAGATCAGACCATAGACTAGACTATAGACTGTACTGAAAACTATACTGTAGACTAGAGTATAGACTAGACTATAGATTAACTATATACTAGACTATAGATTAGACCATAGACTTGACTATAGACTAGACTATAGACAACACTATAGACTAGACTATAGACTGGACAATAGACTAGACTATAGACTAGACAATAGACTAAACTATACACTAGACTATAGATTAGACTATAAACTAGGCTATAGACAAGACTATAGACAAGACTATAGACTAGACTATAAACTAGACTATGGATTAGACTATAGACTAGACTATAGACTAGACTATAGACTAGACTATAGACTAGACTATAGACTAGACTATAGACTAGACTATAGACTAGACTATAGACTAGACTATAGACTAGACTATAGACTAGACTATGGACTAGACTATAGACTAGACTATAGACTAGACTGTAGACTAGACTATAGACTAGACTATAGACTAGACTATAGACTAGACTATAGACTAGACTATAGACTAGACTATAGACTAGACTATAGACTAGACTATAGACTAGACTATAGACTAGACTATAGACTAGTCTATAGACTAGACTATAGACTAGACTATAGACTAGACTATAGACTAGACTATAGACTAGACTATAGACTAGACTATAGACTAGACTATAGACTAGACTATAGACTAGACTATAGACTAGACTATAGACTAGACTATAGACTAGACTATAGACTAGACTATAGACTAGACTATAGACTAGACTATAGACTAGACTATAGACTAGACTATAGACTAGACTATAGACTAGACTATAGACTAGACTATAGACTAGACTATAGACTAGACTATAGACTAGACTATAGACTAGACTATAGACTAGACTATAGACTAGACTATAGACTAGACTATAGACTAGACTATAGACTAGACTATAGACTAGACTATAGACTAGACTATAGACTAGACTATAGACTAGACTATAGACTAGACTATAGACTAGACTATAGACTAGACTATAGACTAGACTATAGACTAGACTATAGACTAGACTATAGACTAGACTATAGACTAGACTATAGACTAGACTATAGACTAGACTATAGACAGACTATAGACTAGACTATAGACTAGACTATAGACTAGACTATAGACTAGACTATAGACTAGACTATAGACTAGCTATAGACTAGACTATAGACTAGACTATAGACTAGACTATAGACTAGATATAGACTAGACTATAGACTAGACTATAGACTAGACTATAGACTAGACTATAGACTAGACTATAGACTAGACTATAGACTAGACTATAGACTAGACTAGACTATAGACTAGACTATAGACTAGACTATAGACTAGACTATAGACTAGACTATAGACTAGACTATAGACTAGACTATAGACTAGACTATAGACTAGACTATAGACTAGACTATAGACTAGACTATAGACTAGACTATAGACTAGACTATAGACTAGACTATAGACTAGGACTATAGACTAGACTATAGACTAGACTATAGACTAGACTATAGACTAGACTATAGACTAGACTATAGACTAGACTATAGACTAGACTATAGACTAGACTATAGACTAGACTATAGACTAGACTATAGACTAGACTATAGACTAGACTATAGACTAGACTATAGACTAGACTATAGACTAGACTATAGACTAGACTATAGACTAGACTATAGACTAGACTATAGACTAGACTATAGACTAGACTATAGACTAGACTATAGACTAGACTATAGACTAGACTATAGACTAGACTATAGACTAGACTATAGACTAGACTATAGACTAGACTATAGGACTAGACTATAGACTAGACTATAGACTAGACTATAGACTAGACTATAGACTAGACTATAGACTAGACTATAGACTAGACTATAGACTAGACTATAGACTAGACTATAGACTAGACTATAGACTAGACTATAGACTAGACTATAGACTAGACTATAGACTAGACTATAGACTAGACTATAGACTAGACTATAGACTAGACTATAGACTAGACTATAGACTAGACTATAGACTAGACTATAGACTAGACTATAGACTAGACTATAGACTAGACTATAGACTAGACTATAGACTAGACTATAGACTAGACTATAGACTAGACTATAGACTAGACTATAGACTAGACTATAGACTAGACTATAGACTAGACTATAGACTAGACTATAGACTAGACTATAGACTAGACTATAGACTAGACTATAGACTAGACTATAGACTAGACTATAGACTAGACTATAGACTAGACTATAGACTAGACTATAGACTAGACTATAGACTAGACTATAGACTAGACTAGATAGACTAGACTAGACTATAGACTAGACTATAGACTAGACTATAGACTAGACTATAGACTAGACTATAGACTAGACTATGACTAGACTGTTTAATGGACTAGATTAGACTATAGATTAGGCTAAAGACTAGACTATTTACTAGACTATAGAATAGACTATAGAAAAGACCATAGACTAGACTATAGAATAGACTTTAAACTAGGCTATAGACTAGACCATAGACTAGACCATAGACTAGACCATAGACTAGACCATAGACTATACCATAGACTAGACAGTAGACTATAGACTAAACCGTAGACCAGACCATAGACTAGACTATTAACTAGACTATTGACTAGGCTATAGACTAGACTATAAACTGCAGTATAGACTACACTATAGAATAGACTATAGATTACACGACAGACTATAGACTAGACTATTTACTAGACTGTAGAATAGACTAGATTAGACTATAGACTAGGTTAGAGACTAGACTATAGAAAAGACTATAGACTAGACTATAGAATAGACTATAAACTAGACTATATAAAAGACTATAGACTGGACTATAGAATTTACTATAGACTAGACTATAGTCTAAACTATATACTATAGGCTCGTCTATAGACTAGACTGCAGACTCGTCTATAGACTAGACTATAGATTAGTCTATTGACAAGACTATAGATTTTACTATAGTCCAGGCTGTAAACTTTTCTATAGCTCCAGATAATAGTTCAATAACAAATTTCTATGAAAAAAATCTATTTAAGCGTTTTTAGCTTGAGGTATCATTTGTCAACATTGTTCAAAAGATCATCAATTGAAAGCTCTTCTTGCCTTTTACCAAAGAGTAAAAAGCTTTATTTCAATACTCTTAAAATGCCATACACAGATGGATTATTAATTTCAAATTTATTTTCAAAACTGTTAATCATTATTCAAACAACGAACACTATAAACAAATTTAATGTCCATCAAAAATATAACAAAAGTTTTTCATGCCAATTATTTTTTTTTTGTTAAAACGTATTAAACAATAGGAGAAATATATGAAAAAAACTTTTACTTTCTTTTTTGTGTTTGCAAACACAAAACTTATAAAAACAAAAAGTTTTAGAAATAATTTAATATTTAATAATTTAAGGCGCCTAAATATGTATGTATGAGTGTTTAAATATACTACCCACTACCAAGATTAATGAACGAAACCCTCATAAATAATTATTAATTGATTTGATTGATTAATTACAATTATTTCAACACAATAATTTATGGCAATTAGCAAAACAAAGGGGAAAAAACTTGCAAATTATTTACATGCATAAATTTATTTTATTATGAATTTAAAACAATTTATTCGAATAAGAATGGATTTCAAAATAAAGTCGTTCACACTAGTAACTGAAAAGTAAAATTTTTCTTCTTGCACCGATTCAAACTGCGATACATACAAATCTCTACTTCCTACTCTGATATAGAAAATAAACCTTAATTAAAGGTCATTTTGAAGAACATTACTAGTTATACCTATTAAATATTAGTTTATTTA